GGTAGTACTTCAAGTATGACTTTAAACTCAAAGCCCTTTCTTCAAAACCCCCTTCTAGAACTTTCAACATATATATTGATGGCAGATTTTACAAATATACTGATTGAAATAAAGGGATAAATTTTCCAAGTTTATGAAATGAAACAAATTCAGATGTATTAAAAAACAACCCACAACTTATATACTAGTACATAATAGGTTCATTCCAACTTGTTTTCATAATAATAGACCTTTGATTATTTTAAGGCAAAATAATCGGATTTTATCTCAAGTCAATAAAGCCAATCCATCACAAAGTTACTAAAAACATTTCCTAATACAACCCACTTTGCAATTTATTGGCTAGGCTTTTTATGTAGCCTTTGCTCATAGTTTCTTTGATTATCAATTTTATTTTCTCTAGTATGTGCAACAGCCAAAGTTTCTTATGCATACAGAAAGATCTTAGAAGTTACATTTGAGAATTTTTGGTAGAAGTTTTAAGATGTGAGAGAGGTTGCAGAAAAATAATTTATCATTTTATTATATTTACAAATACTAGAGCCAAAAATATGAGTGCTACATATTAAAATGCTGTATCTGTTATCAAAGTGGTATTTGTACTACAATGGGGTTAGCATTATTTGAGACTACAAAAATCTTCTTTACTTACTAGATTTTATTAACTCTGGATTAGCTCAAACTAAGTAAACTAGAACAGCTTTATATCAGTATTTACATTTGTTTAATTCAAAGTTAGCTTGATATTCAGTATCTTTGATTTTAATTTATTGAAAAAAATCTATTGTATGTTAGATGACTCTCAGACCTAGGGTAGACAGAACAATGTCCTGGAATACATAGCTTTTCATTGTCTCAGGCTGTAAGAATCTTAAAAAAAAAAAAAAAGGATCTAAAGGAGTAAGACATTTATTTCTGTGGAAAACAAATAGTCTTAGATATTTTCTCTGTGGTTCCTACCTCTGTGACTTTATTATTAATTAAGGCAAGGAGACAGGAAAGTTGGCAGAGAAATGTGTACAGCTTTTTTGAGATACTCACTCATGGCTATAAATAAAAAGGTAAAAGCAGAGATAATCAAACTGCCACATGATAAAAGGTTTTATACAATGATTTAAACTTTTTAATGGTACTTTCATATGATTGTGAAGGTGTAACCTAGAGAAAGAATGTTTGCAGAAATAATTTTATCCTGGAATAGTGGCTTTTATTTCTGACTATTATAAAACTTTCCATGTACAGTTGTACTGAAGTCTAATTCCTACTCCAGACTAACCCAAACACAATAGCTGGGGATAAAGCACTGAGCCTTCCTTAAAAAGCTCCGCAGGTGATTCTAATAAGATACCTCAATTAAGAGCCATGGCATTAGAAACTTTAGAGCAGTGGTTCTCAACCTTGGCTGCACATTAGAATCACCTGGGAATCTTTTTAAAATCGGGAATTCTGGGCCTCATCGTCCGGAGATTCTGTATCTTTGTTATGAAGAGAGAAGCCCCCCCCCCAATACCCGCGGAAAGGGCTGACATAAATGAGTATCGTTACATAAAATAATAGAACATTTTAATAAAAATTAATATTTTTTCTTGAACATTACCTTACCAGACACTGAATAATTGCACAAATTAATAAGGGTAACGCAAATAAACCTATTTTTCTTGTTCTCCGAAAGCGAAATATTTCCTGTTGCACACACCAAACAAGTCAGTCCAAGACTAATGACATGGCAATCGGCTGGTAAAATATTCGCTGCTAGTATTAGTGGAGAGAAATGGTGCACGGGCTCGAAAAGGAAATGAATGCAACATGATTATAGTAATCAGTCATTAGCGAACATTGGAGTTTGTTATTAATAATTATGTAAAACAGGATAGTATAAAAATTAAGTTACGAAATTCTTATTAAAATGTTTCTTACATACCGTTATATTGGCTGGGCCGCAAAAATATTCGTTGTGGGCTGCATGCAGCCCGTGGGCCGTGAGTTTGACATGCCTGCTTTAGAGACTACTTCACAGAGAAAAAGAAGCAACTTCGTAAGAAGTGCTAAAAATGTGGGAATAATACCAATTACATTAAGTGAACAAAAATCAACAATTATAATTCTAATTGTAACTTTAAACTAACCAGTTAGCCACATTAAGAAACAAAAGTACTCCCACCCCTAGCAGGTTTGGCTCAGTGGATAGAGCATCGGTCCATGGACTGAAGGGTCCCAGGTTGGATTCTGGTCAAGGGCACGCAGGTCAATTGCAGGCTCAATCCCCAGCCCTGGTTGGGGTGCGTAGGGGAGGCAACCAATGGATCCAATGCATGTGTCTCTCTCACATCTATGTTTCTCTCTGTCTCTCCCCCTCTCTCTAAACAAAACAAAACAACAAAAAAAAAAAGAAAGAAAAAAGAAATCAATGGAAAAATATCGTCAGGTGAGGATTAACAGCAAAAAAAGTGCTCCCAAGCTAGTAGGATGGGCAGTGGGAACAAAGGAGGAACACACCATTTTCAGACTTCTTTTAAAAAAGTATTTAGGAAAAAGAGATATTTACTCTCATACACCATTACACCTATTTTCATAATATCTAAAAATTGATGTGGAAATTCCAAATCTGAGAATATTGTTTGAGATAAGATCTGCAGTAATTCTAGGCATCTGCTTGTAAAAATCACTGAGAATATTACAGTAGAGGGTAAGAAGCAATCATGGTAGATGACACAGGAAGATCAGTTACGCTCTAGAAACCTTTAACGGAACAGGGAAACGTTAGTTTGGGGCCTACCACCTGCTGGCAGACACAGCCAGCCTATATCACATCTCTAACCCCCATCTAACCAACATGTGGGATGCCTGATAAAGCCACAGCACCAGGCAAACAAAAATGCTAACACCAGTCTGTGCAAAGTGCTAGTGGACCTTGAAAAAAAATCAGAAACCTGTGAAGAAAAGGAAAAGGTTCTTTTTAGTCAAAAAAAAAAGAAGAAGAAGAAGAAGAAGAAGACTGCATTTCTGAAAGAAAAATATAAGCTACTGCAAGGACAGGAGAAAGTTGGAAAACAACAGTGCTAGTACAGATCTAGAACACAGTACAAACAAAAATGATTATAACTTCTGAATATAGGTAAACCAACACTTTGTTTGCCATGGAATGTTCCACAAACACGTGATCCACATGGGCTAAAAAACCCTTTGCTTCAAGTGTCTAGGGTTTTTCAGAAGGAACAAGAAGTCATTGTATATTGATTTGTAACCAGGGAAGAAATGAATAAGAAAAATTCCAAAAAATAACTACTAACACTACACTAACCACTTTTTCTAAAGATAAGATTAAAAAAACAATTCCTGCTAGCAAAGGGAAAGAAGTATTAATAAATTCAGTCAATAACCCTGAAACGGATGTTTGCTTCAAACACTTTATTTCCTCTTCCTCCACTCTTCCGAAGCAAGTTCAAATAGTCACCTTTCCTATCCTAGAGGGAATTATACTGTTCAAGTTATCAATAGCTACTATTAGAATGAGTAAGTACCATGAGCAAGGCCCGTGCTAAGTGCTCTATGTACACTATCTCTTTTAATCCTCACCGTGACTATATGTGTTCTTTCTCTTTCCATTTTACTGATGAGGAAAAACCTAGGTTTAGGACACACAACTAGCAAATGGTATAAAGCGGGGATCAAAAGTTAGACCTGACTCCATAGTCTGTGCTTGTAACTATAAACTGAAGCAGCATTTTTCTTAGTATTCTTTTATCAAAAGACTGAAGTTCACATGCAATTTGGAATAAATGAGCAGAAAGGGAGCACAGGAAGTGGTGTAGAAGTACTTTATAATTTATCAAGATAAGAGCACCTGCATTGCTTTTTTAAGACAAGAAAAAAAAAAGTCTGCAATCATATAAAACCCTCAACTCTTTTCTGGTCCTGTTATTACTAAAATGGGCCAGTTTTGCTTGAACAAGACGGTCAAGCAGCACCTACAGACCACTGCAAATAAATCACTTTGGTTCAGTGGTGGGGAGGGCATTATGCAACACTTCCCAGCACAGCCTTCACCAGGATATTTTACGGCCAAGGCACTTGGGCCCCTCCTCCCCAGAGCTAGACAGCTTGGCTCCTTCATATTCCCCTCAGGAGATAGGGTGGAAGCACACAGCTCCACTTTCTCAGGCACAGAGGGCAGCTGAAAGTCCTGCTCAGCCTCTCTGGGCAACCACAGGCGCCAATAAATCAGCCACAGGCGATTTCTCTCATCCCCTTCCTGGCTTGAAGTGGTAGTGAGATATAGTCTGTGCAAAAGAGCACAGACTAGACTGGGGAGATAAGTGATCTAGGCTTGAATTCTACTGCAAATGGCTGTATCACTGAAGCCAAGTAAATCCCTGAGCCTATTTCCTGGTTTGTTTGAAAAATGGAGACAATACTACCTCCTTTTGGTAAGTATAAGAAATTCATCTATGAAAGCAGCTAGCGGCTAGCCACTGCAGGTACTTAATAAAAAGCAACCAAACCTGAGCAGGATCCATCTCCACTCCCTCCACATAAGACATTCAGGGCAGGGCTGGGCAAAAAGGTGTAGCAAGTCTGGCGAGGTCCCTCCCTCCCTTTTTGCTGACCATGCCTGTGATGTTTCACTGCTTCCTAATAACCTCGCAGCCACAGTACTCATCTATTCTATGTCCCACCCATCATTGTTTTGGTCCCTATTAAAGAGCTGATGTCTGATAATGGATTAACAGTTCATTCTTAATTAAAACATAACAGATTGCTAAAGTGGACTTTGGTGCCTTAACCTTATGGAAGCAAACAGTGCTGCAAATGTTGGTTATTCTTGCAGAGAACAGGGCTGAATGGGGAGAGGGGGGGAGAGCTTTGAGCTTCAAAGTACATTACAGCCATTCTATTTCCCCTAGAAATAGCGCCAGTCCCATTTCTTAAAAATACCAAAGCCATCACACACTGGCCAAATCTGATTTCTCAAGACTCTGGATCAAGCCAAGTATAATCACCTCTGACAGATAGTCTCTATGAGTGGATTACACTGGCACTGCACTCCTGGTGTGGCAGAGAGAACAATGACCAAGGTGTCCGGAGCCCTCGAGTCCACTTACTCAAGAGGTGCAGGACCTCAATCAAGCGGCACGCTCGCCCTTTAGGCCGGTGTCCTCATCTGTAAAACAAGAGGGATGCACTGGATTGTTCTATACCGCCCCTTCCAGCTAAAAAATCTGTAATTGCAAAGTGTACTCTACACACTTGGCAAAATCCTGTGAGAATGAACAGCTTTACCAAAAGGACTTGATATCATCTCAAGAGAATGCATGCCCGATGTAATCCCTTGGGGGGAACCAGGCGTTAATTTAGGAAACAAGTTAGCTGCTGTCAAGGTCCAGGTGCGGTCCAGGGGCTGCTTGAGCAGCGTGTTTTCTCCCAATGAGCGCGAGCCAGGGGAGGAAAGTGATACATGGGGCAAGCTTTAAAAAGACAACCTGGATGTGCTCAGAATGAGATTAATATGAAAAAAGAAAGAAATGAATCATGA